CCACACGCTCTCTGGTGGATCCGGAAGTGGACCAGAAGTACTTGCAGTCCACTTCCAGGTTCACCACTGATCTTGCGGGGTGCCCCCCCGCGCTCCTGTGGGATGCTCCATCTTCCCCAGCATCACAGCAATCATGAGCCATGCCTGGTACCTCAAGGTATGTAGAAAAAACATTTAAAGCAGTGTATGTGTCCGAATCGCTGATTCTCTGAATCAACATCTAATCTTCAGATTTGGATTCGGCCAAATCAAATCAGGGACAGAACCTGAATCCAAATCGAATAAGGCCAATTTCGCACTCCCCTACTGGACATGTCTACATGTATATTTACGCTGGCTTAAATTCACTGCACAGTAAATTACTGTGCAGTAAGCAGGAATAGGCTGCCATCTACACATTAAAGTGCATTAACGCTCCAGTGTTACTGTGCAGTGAGTTGCCTACATGTGCATTACTGCACAGTGACTAATCAGGTGTAAATTTGATGCCTGCATGATGCAGGCATCAAATTTATTACCAAGTCAGCATTGCCATATTTACTGCATAGTACAGGCAGGCACATGTATATACGTGCCTGTACTGTGCAGTGAATTTGGTTACTGCACAGTAAACATACACATGTAGACACACCCTATTTTCCCAGGAGGACTTAGTGTCACATAGCTCTGGAAAAAAAATTTCTACATTCTGTCTTCCAAAAAGCAAGATGCACATTTTACATGGGGATGTGTCATATGCAGAAAAATATGGTAACCTATACACTATTACTAATAAATTTAAATTTCTTTTTCCTTGCAGTTAGCAGCGAAGTAAGAAATGCCCTTTTAAGAGTCAAGTTAAAAAAAAGAGAGCTGCTTTGTGACTTTAAGTTAAGCCCTTAACTGGGGGAGGGCCTGAGCTACAACAAGCCTGGGGATTCAGACTTAGTTGCTCCATTCTGATACTTGGGCAGCGACAGATTCTTGATTTACCTTGGTTCTTGGCGTACCCTGTGGCTAGACCAGGCCCTGTGTGGTTCCCTGATAGAAATGAGTACAGCCTCCCAGCAGCTTTATCTTACACTCACTTTGCTCTAGGCCTAGGAAGCAAGGAATGTCACACAGAATGCACTAGATACTCACACTCTCGATCACCCCATAACAAATAGCTCTTGGTCAGGGTGCCTGGATCCACACACTGTGGCAGGCCAGTAGGGGATGCTCCTGCACTGAGCCACCCACCTCACTGTGCCCATTCACCTTCCAGGCTCCAAATGCCTCCCTGGGGGTGCCTCACATCTGGCCAACCCCCTTTCTGGAGCACACCCACTAGCCTGGGGGTAATGCCGCCACAACCCAGGGTCTGGACTGATCCTGGCTCTGTGCCCCCTGGAAAACACAGGCCTAGTAGCCCTTGAGTGTACTCGACCCACTTCAAGAACTTGGGGTGCTTCTCTTAGTCTGAAGCACAAACAGTGCTCTCCCTTAGTCAGCTGAACCAAGGGGACCCAAGGCATAATCTAGCCCCTCTCCCAATAAGTCTCCCACGCTAGGTACAAAGGAGATCTTTATTGGTTACAAGGAGTAGGTTTGGAATAGAGTACAGGGTAGAGCAATATCAGAGAAATCCCATAGAGCAAACAGAGTGGCTGGGTAGCCTTTGATCACGCATCTGAGTTACTGCAAGCTAGATAGCTAGTTCTCAGGTAGATTACTCACGAGTATCATCCAGAGGCAGGTGAAGATTCCCTCTGGAGGCAGGCAGTTCATTGATCATAAGTTGCAAGAGAGATGGCAAGTTTCAGATGGCCCAGCTCTTCTCTCTCTGTTTTCATCATGGCTACTGCCCCTCCTCCTGGGCAGTCCTTAACTTATATAGCCCTTATGACCTCGTTTACCTCGTCCAATGGAGGCCAGCACCTGTTGGCTGTCAGCCAACCAATCTGAAATGCATCACTGGTTGCCAGGGATACTGGCATTGCTCAGAACAATAGGGAGCCCAAGCTCCTCACTCAGGTATGTGATGCCAGTACCGTAAGCAGAGGGAGCAGGTTTCCCCCTCCCTCAGGAATGCATCCAACTCAGGTTACAACTCAGAGTGACCTAAAGAGCCCATGGGATATCTGCCCTTTGCAATGACCATGTTAACCAAATTGTCACATAGCAGAGTTGTTGGGGAGAGACAGAGGTGGCATTCTGCCACAGCCCCTACATCCCTTTTTCTTTGATTCCTCCTCACCTTGGCACAGAGGTTCTCAACCTTTTTGGACGCAAGGCCCCCCTCCCTGGACTCAAGGCACCTCTCCATAACTTTTGTGAATTGAGTGGTACCCAATTTCAAAAACTAATTTCCATGTTACAGTGCTTACCTCCTTGCAGAAGGGCCAAGCAGTGGGGATGGGGAATCAGCCAGGGAGGGACAAGTCAGAACCTGTGCTTATCTGCTCAGCTCTTCATACTTGGTTTATTTCATTATAAGTGGTGACATGCTTCAAAAGACCTTGGTTGAGATTCCCTGCTTCAGAAGAAGCAGGGCATGATCCCGTTCCCAGTGCTGCTTCAGCTACTTTAGGTTTGAGTATCAGGAGTGGCTTCCATACCCAGCCCCTTCCCTGCTAACTTGTAAACAGATCTGCTTACTCCTAGGCCTGAGGACTGTGAAGCCCACATACTGAAGTAGTAGCCATGTCTTAGTACAGCACAGTTTAACTTTAAATCTTACTGTCGCCGTTTCTGAAGTGTTGGCATCAGCCTGACTCCCAGCACCTCTCTAAAATTCTCTCATCCTTTCATTATTCTAATTTTCCCTAATTAGATTAATGGATGGTTATTGGGTGTGTAAACAAAGAGGATGAGTTTTATCTTTCTGATTTGCACCAATCACCCTCCACTCCTCCAAAATTCCTGCTCAGGCATATGCATCGAAGGTCTGGGTGGCCTCATGCATACGCCATGATCCAGGAGGATCAACGCTTGCCACTGCAGGTGTGGCCTCACCAGTGCACCAATCTCTTGACCTTGGGAACACGTCTAAATTTCCTTATTCTTTCAGAAGCACTGTGATGACAAAGGTGTCCCTGGACAGACTAAGGAAAAGAGCAGATTCCCTCAGGAGCATGAGGTTGCTCTAAATGGCACGAGTAGCTAAGCAGATCTCTGCATTACCCCAGAATACAGGGAGCACAGAGCCAGCTCCATGCCCCAATGTGCTCTTTTAGCTATTGAGCACATGCTGACATCTCTGTCCATGTTTAATAGGTGCATGCATTGGGGGTATGAAGTCTCCACGGGCCTCAGCTCTATATTTTAGGGATTTCTTCACTCTCCTGAATGTTGACCTCTGGGTTCATGATGTGGTCCCCCTCAGGGGTAGGAGTCTGTTAGCATGGCCAGCAGGGGAGGTGTGACTATGTACCCCATAGGCAATGCACAGGAGGAAATGAGAGGGGAGATTGGCCACCGACCCCCACACCGCTGACACTGGTGCCTGCAGGCAGCCCCTGTTTGCTGTTCTCTGCTCGCTGCTGATACCGCTTCTGGTGTCTGCAGGTGGTTCCTGCTTGCCACCCCCCACCACTGACACCGTTGCCGGCATCTGTGGGAGGTCCCCGCTCACCGCCAATGCTGCCACCTACAGATGGTGCCCCCCCAGTCTTGGGAGGCACCAATTGTTCGTGATGTACTCTGCCCTTTAACAGGCGATGTTCTTATCTCTGGAGGGTCCTGGTTCAGTTCCCTATGGCAGCCACCATGGAAACACCTGGAATAAACCCTGTTGGAGAGAGGACATTTTGCGGGTTTGTGGAGCGTTCATGCCAACGTGCCCAACCCCTCATGATTTTTACCTCTGGCTGTGAAGTTAACATTTTTTAATTGTATTTTGGCCTTGCCATTTGGGCTACCCAGCCTGTCACAACTTCATCATAACTGGCCATAACTTCACAGGGCTGAGAAAGGCATTTGAAGGTAAAAAGGGTGCTTTGGTCATGGCACCATCTTGACCCCAGCATCCTCTGTTCCTGCTTCCTGCAGGACCCTGGATGTGTAAGGAAGTGATGGGTCCTAGTCCCTTCCCTAGTGGAGATTGCAGCTCAGATACAGGCACCAGGAAGAGGTTGGTTCATGTCTTACCATTGTGTTCCTTCTCTGCTTTCAGAGAAAAAAGATCCCCCTTGCCCATCTTGTCCGCCTTCTTGCACTGCTGCCTGTCCAGACAGATGGGTCGGATATCGAGGGAAATGTTTCTTCTTCTCAGAGACTAAAGAGTCCTGGAACTTGAGTCAAAGTCACTGCATTTCACTTGGAGCCTCCCTGGGTGTGATTGATTCCCCAGCTGAACTGGTAAGGAAAAAATACCTGCAGTTTTATTGTACCAGAGCTAGGGACATCCTAGCCATAGAGTCTGCTATACCAGAACCAAAAGCTCCCAGAAAGTCAAAAGTGGACCCTGGTTTTAGGGAAGCAAATTCCCTCTGGAGCTGGTAGGAAAATGGAAACTTCCAGTGAGGGCAAGACATTTCTTCTGACATTTTTATTGAGAAAAAAAGTTGGTTCCACTGAAACATTCTCCTCTCATTTCAGCAACAAATGCTCATTCAATATTGGCAGGGCAGGAGAGTGGGCAGGAGAGCTGACTTCTGGCTTTTGACATGCTGCACTTGGAAAAATTAAAATCCTTAAAATTAAATTAAATTAAATTAAATTAAAACTAAATTAAAATCAATAGCCTTAAAACCTTAAAACCTGGAACAGGTTACCTAGAGAGGTGGTAGCATCTCCATCCTTGAAGGTTTTAAAGGCCTGGCTCAACGAACCCTGGTTGGAATGATTTAGCCAGGGATAGTCCTACTTTGAGCAGGAGGTTGGACTAGATGTGACCTCCTGAGGTCCCTTCCAATCCTCATTTTCTATGATTCTATGAAACTTGGGAAATGCTTAAAAAGGGGAGAGCAGGTTTGACATTTTTTTAATGGTTTCCTTTTTCCCACAAATTTTCAGAAAATGAAAAAATATTTTCCCACTGAGAGAGAGAGAGAGAGTTTTTAATAAAAATGTTTTTGCCCCATCTGCTCAGACAGTGAGCTCTTTGGGCAGAATCTGTCCCTTCCTCTGTGTTTGTACAACCCCCAGCACAAAAAGCCTGGTCTCAGTGGAGGGTACAGGGCACAACATTGCTGGAACTAAGCATGTAATGCATGTGATGTTTTCTTCCAGACATTCATGCAGCGTTACGTGGGCCCCCTTCACTACTGGATCGGCCTCCACAGGGCAACAAGCCAGGCCTGGAGATGGACCAGTGGAATCCTATTCAATGACCTGTACGTCTGCTCTTCTTCTTTGCTTTCCCAGCATGAGCAAAGGTCTCTGTGAAAGCAAGGTCCTTTACTGCTGGAATTAAACCATGGTGCAGCCACTTGCCCCTGCTAGGTTAACAGTAATGGCTGAAGTAGAGCTGGTGGGTGAACTGTGGCTAAATTCTTCCCCTCTGGAAACTGTGGTTTTGCCAAAAGTAAAACTACTTGAGAAGAAGGAAATGCCATTTGAGCAAAAGTTTCCATCAGGAAAATTTAACTGAGCCTTTTGTTTCATGTCAACTCAAGTCAATCTTGGCTTGACCCGGCAGTGCATCCCAGGAACTGCAACGTGCAGTCCTTCCGACCCTGCTCCTCTTTATGGGACCTGGTCATCACCTGGCCACCCTGGATGCAGAGCTCCCTCATAAATGTGTTTTCCCCATCAAGTGACCAAGTGGCTGCAGTGCATCACAGGAGATGCAGCCAGGAACTAGGAGCTATAACTCTTGTGACACATGCCAGCAGCTCTGCAGTTGGTTTTTATCATTTTGGTGGGCTTGTTATCCTCCCCTTATGCCCTTCCTGGCATTTCAATTCTATAGAAACTTGAGATATGGAAAAAAAAACCCTATCAATTTTGGAGGGAAGAGAAGCCAAAATGCTGGGATTTCCCCTAGGATGGAAATTTCATTTTGGGGAAGGCTTTATACACATCACCACCCTCTCATGGCATGCACAGGAGCAACTTACCCAAGCACAGGGGAGAGTCCCTGCTCCTGGGCAGATCCAGGATCCTGGTGAGGGGGTGCAATCACCCTCCTTCAGCTGTGTGACACATGGGCAGCAAGTTCTCTGAGCTCCCCACCATGTCAGGGCAGCTCCTGCCAGAGCTTCACATATGTTGTGAGCTCTGAGCATACTAGCTGATCATGCAGGCCCTGGCTGGAGCTCCTGTTTTCATGCAGCTCCCATAGGGTGACCAGCATAGAAGACAGTCCGGTTGTCCTCTGTCCTCTATTGATATGAAGCTTGAAGAGAAAAATAGAGGACATAAGGATATTGGGTTTTGTATCAAAAAAGGACAAAGAACAAAGTAGCAGAAAACCAGAATGTCCTCTATGATGGCCACCCTAGGAGTAGCTGGGAATACCCTTCCATCTCACCCCAAGGCAGAGGTGTGGACAGTCCCCTAGTAGGGAATTTGGGCTCAAACCCAGATGCTGAGTCCTACTCCACTGCCCTGTGCTGTCTCTCTGGATGTGGCTAGGAATGAATCTGATACAAGTTCTGCTGCTGCTCACTGCAGGTTTAAGATCACAGGGGAAGGACACTGCGCCTACATGAATAATAACAATATCAGCAGCGCCAGGTGTTCCTCAGAGAGACACTTCATCTGCAGCCGGCCAGATAATTGTGCCAGAAGGAAGATTTGAGGACAACACAACATCCAATGTGACTTAAGGCACCAGTGCAAACTCTCCTGTAGGCCTGCAGTCTGTACCTGATCATCTTCGCTGGAGCATCCTACCTCTCTGACCACTGCTCCTACTTGATCCCTACTGACAGCCTGTAGCAGGTTGCCACCTCAGGGCCTCTTCAACAAGGCTTTTGCCCCTTCCCTGACCATTTCTCAGTAAGCCTTAGTCTTTTGAACCCACTGGCCTTTGCTCCTTGGAGTGTGTCTCAGGATGCCCCATAATATACAGATTTTAACAAATAAAGTAAGTAAACAAAATCCTTTTTGTCCTGGATACTGGGAGGGGTCTGCTTTAGCTTCAGCATTCCCACCACATATTTTTCCATCTCTGATGCATCTCCTCCACATTTCTCTGCTGGGGTTTTTGATTCCCAGTGAGCCACTGGGAAGCCATCAGCCTTTACACAGCTGCAGCTCCTCAGCAAGGCTGACTGACTCCTCTTAGTGGGACAAGTCCTCTGTTACCCAGCCCTTTCCCTCAAGTCATGGTTTATGGGCTCTAGTACAAGATGGGCATGTCTACACATGCTATTAATGTACACCAATAAGCACTGGGCATGCCAGTTACACTTGCACCCAGACCACAGCACACTGAGCTGGGTCAGAGTAGGGGTCAGCCTGTCAGCCTGGGGCTGCTCCAACCAGGCTCAATATGCTGCGGAGCGGCTGGCTAGGGCATGAGGGTGCTTTGGTGTGAGGCTAGCTGGGAGGCAGCCCCCACACTGAAGTACATTCATGCCCCAGCCAACCCCATCAGTGTCTACATGTGTGCACACAAACAAAATCCACAGCAGGGTAGTACTTATATTTAGAGGTACTACCCTGCTGCAGAGTTTATTCATTTCATATGCCCTAACATAAGCACATGTAGACACTTAGATGTTTACTGCACAGGTTGATGGGCAAAGGGATGCACAGACCTGTGGGAACACAGGTGGGTGGGTGCGCAGTGCAGTTTTGTAACAGGAATAAGAATGCTTTGCACTGTCAAGTGAACCGCAGTAGTCACAAGACAGGTTGGAAGAGTATGTGTGTATATATAGATTAGCCTGTGCATGGGCAGGTGTGAAGGATAAAAGGTGGAGAGAATGGCAGCCCAGAGGAGGGAGAGAGAAGGTGAGTGGAGAGCACAGAGACACTGAGACTCCGGCAACTATGGATAATATGGATGAACGGTACTGGGTGTTAGAAAGAGAGGAACCGGAGGCAACCTGCAGGAGGAGGGAGCCCAAGGAGTGAGAAACTCCAAGTTGAACTGACTTTGGTTTTACAGGCTGCCAGATGATTACGGTCTTAATAAAGATAAGGAGCCTAGGTGGTATTGACTTTGAGTTTAGTTTGATGAGCTGCTAGCCCACACCTTTTCCTTTGCCTTAAGCTCTTTACTTGTTTCATGTTGGCACTTTATCTCCTAAAAGCACATTAGGGACACTTGGATAAGGTATTGTAGAAAGGCACTTTAAGTATAGGTGTGCAGTGCTATTTTAACTGAGCACTTAGCACGTGGGTAGGAGGGCATACTGCAGTCAGCAGTAAGTGCACTTTAGAGGCTAAAAGGGCCATGAGCAATATTAAGCATCTGAGACAGAGAAGACTCCTAGAGCTGGTAGACCTAGTGAATGATGCAATAACTCAAATTGTGCCAGAAACCTCAAGGCCCTGAACTGAAGAGTATTTGGGAAAGTGCAGTAGCCAGGCAGAAGCAATATTGAATGCGCTGGGCACTTCAGATCCCTCGTAACATCAACAAGATTTTTGGTAAAAGCCACTCATTGAGCTAACAATAAGAACTACACCCCAAATGGGTTCATTTATATTTATTATTATTATTATTGAATTGTGAAAGACTATGTACTTTCATTGCCATCAGACTTGACATTATTAACATTGAGGTGGAGGAAGGCTGGGGGTTGGAGCCCCAGACTCCTATACAACAATTAAAGTCTATCACAGGGGTGGGCAATTATTTTGGGTGGAGGACCACTTACAGAGTTTTGGCAAGCCTTCGAGGGCTGCATGACAGGCAGCCAGGGGCAGATAAATATTAATTTTCTAAAATTTTTAGGGACCCCATGGGCCAGATAGAATGGCCTGGTGGGCTGCATCTGGCCCGCGGGCTGCATTTTGCCCACCCCTGGTCTATCAGCTTCCAGATGAAAGACTTGCGGCTGCAATAAATGGGACTGAACACCTCCCAGTTGTAAGAACTAGAAAATGTGTTGGGGAAATTTCATCAAAAATATATATCAGGAGACACCCTGATGATGGTTTTGACCAGGTGGTTTTACATATCTGGTAAGGGAGAAGCCATTCTTCCTCACCTTGATGTTTCTAGTTGAGGATGGAGACCTATCTATTGCACTGTGGCAGGCACAGCTGCAAGAGTGTAATATAGTGTCAAAGAAATTGTTTTTGGCCTCTCCCTCTAGCTTGCTTCTATGTCCTTTTGAGTAGGGGCAAGTGGCACTAGGTGGCATCTGAACCCCAAGGCCTCTGGGCTTACGTCTTGCATGTAGGATGCCTGCTGTGGATTTGGGAGCATCTAAAACCCCAGGCTGAAGAAGCTGGGAGGTAGCATACCTTCCCTGTACCAGGCCCCAATCTGGGTCTTCATGTCTCGCTTGGCTTCCTCACATTCCAACCCCAGGATGCCTGCTTGTGCAGGCTCTGCAACTTGCAATTCAGATGTTTGTGTTACTTTCTCTGGATCCAGGCTCACTGTGGCTCCAGTATTCAGGTCTGAGGGTTTTCCATCCTGTGCAGTGTTTTCTGAACTCCTGCTGTGTCTTCTCATTGTCCAGAAGGATCTCATTCAGTTTCCATAGTCCTCTGCCTCTCTTGGACTGCCCCCACATTTCTGCTTTCACTTTCAGGAGGCAGTGGTCCGAGAAACAGACCAGTGTGGATTTGGCTTTAGCTACTATCCACTCTTTTGGGAAGAGGACAAAGTCTATATGTGATTTAGACTGGCCCATGGGGTTTACACAGGTGAAGTTTTCCCCTGGTCCTTTGGCTTTTCTGCCTGCATCCACCAGGCTATGTTAGATAAGTTGCTTCAGCGGTCTAGTCCCTTTGTTTTACTTCTGCTTATTCTGTCTCCCACCTTGATGATGCAGTTTAGATCCCCTGTGACACTGGCAACGTGTAGGGGGTGCACACAGGAGCATGTGCACCCCTTGAGTGTGGCGGTGCACCCCCTACGAAAAGGTACTGCCCGCCCCTCGCCATCAACACCGCCGGTGGTGTCTGCAGGAGGTCAGCGACCTCCACTGACCACAGTCAATGCTGCCAGAGGTGTCTGTGGGTGGTCGCTGACCCCCGGTGGGGGGTGAGTGCCCACTGAACTGGGGGGAAGGGGAGGGGGCA